TAGGGAGAGGAATATTTAAGAGTGCGTGCCATTCACGTGATCATTCATCTTTTCAGCGGCTCAACTATAGTCACTTTGAGACCAAGTATAGTACCAAAATTATAAGAGTACCCTTTTAATTCAACGCTATCCTTAAATCTCATTTTAGACGAAACTGATTTCTTTCTTATTGAAATATATTTCATTATTTAATGTTCTAATTGTAAGCACGATACTCTTCTAAGCATAGAAAAGTTACCCGTTTTTTAGTTCCCCGGAACCCGAAAGAAGCAAAAAAAAGAAGGAAACGTTCACTTTTCAAAGACAGGAAAAAGATAAATAGATCAAATTCTGAAAGAAAGAAATATCATTAGATAGTACATAAAAAAAGACTAGGTATGCTGTTTTCAGAAATTTATTATAAATATATGTTATGGCGAGCACGCCACTGCATGTGTGTGTGTGTGTTTCATCTCAATATTCAAGACCCTTTGGAAGATGATAAACACCCATGCCGAGAATCTCTAAGTGTTTACGTATTATCAAGAACTATGAGAGGTTTTTTGTAGATATAGTGTGTATTTCTTAAGTTAGTATAGTTCTGTAAGCTAAACTGTAAGCATCTGAATAAATTTGTGCATTTCCTTCAGAGTTTTTCGTTACTTAATTCTCCATCGAACACATATCATTTTATAAAGAATAAAAGTAGCGCAGTCAGTAGAATTTCCAATTAGAAGAAGTAAAGCCTTTTTTTAATCGATTTTAATCGTTAATTGGAAAATTGGAGAATTAGTGACTTAGTATTTGAGTTCCGAGTGTAAGGCCACGAGGAAGGAAAACTGAAGGAACCCGTAAGCAACTTAGAAGAATTCCAAGTGTAAGGCCACTTGTTGTGTAAAGCCACAAAGTAATTCGGAAGTTCTGGGGAGGCGCAACTAGCAACTTCGTGAAATCTTCTCAACCAGCTTCAGTGAAAAGCCACTCGACCCTGGAAACGGTGAAGCATTTCCACAGAAGAAGCAACAACATCTCTACAGTTTAGAATTTCAACCAGTTCCAGTGAAAACCCAGTTGATCCAGAAGATACAACGTTCTCCACCCGTTCTCTACCCGTTCCAGTGTAAATCCACTTGATCTGAGACGTTTGCTGCAACGTTTTCGACACGTTCTCACGGAAGTACTTGAGGTTAGTCGAATTATATTCATTTTTTATTTGTTTTCATTTTTTTATTTACTCTGTTTCGCAATTTTCAAACTTTTAAGCTATCATATCTAGTATTTGCATTTTTTTATTTGTTTAATTTATTTTTGTTAATACAATGGCAACTAACGACGTAACAGCAACTACGCCAATAATTTCCGCTACCACCTCTAATAATTATATTAATTGTGACAAAGCTATCAAGCTTATAAATGTTTTTGATGGGTCTTCTTCAAAATTACATTATTTTATAGATTCTGTTGATTTTATTTTTGCAAAATTTGACCCAGCGGAATTGCAAATTTTTCCTTTTATTGTAAAAAGCAGGTTAGAGGGAAAAGCTCTTGATTTCATTGGCTCGAAAGAATTTTCGACATGGCACGAAATAAAAAATGCTCTCCTTTCTCAGTTTGGTGAAAATTTGGATTTGCAGTGTCTAAATTTTGAGTTATGTCACTTTAAGCAAAGTTCTAATGAAAAACCTACAAATTTTGTTGATAGAATTGAAAAACAATTAATTAGAATCAATAAAGTTATCAAATACGATTCAAATTTGAACGATGTTGAGAAAAAATGTTTAAATAATTTTCACAGTAAGACGGCAATTCTGACCGCTATTACGGGCATAAAAAAACCTTTGTGTCAAATGCTTCGCTCTTTAAATCCTAGTTCGTTAATTCAAATTAAGCAAATTTTAAACGATTATGAAAACCAACAATATTTCAAACAAACAAATGACAAGTTTTCTAAATTAAATATAAATGATGACAATAAAATTTCGTCAAGTACTGCAGGTACTCAAAAAACATTTTCTGATCCCTGTTCAACAAATCAATCGATAAATCCACCGATTAAATTAACTATTCCTAAGTGCACTGTTTGCCATAAATATGGACATAAAGCAGAAAAATGTTATCGTAAACCACAATCTCACAATGTTGTTCATAATACCTATTGCGACAATGATAGTTCAGAAAAAGAAATAGAAATCGAAGTTGATCATGATTTTTTTAGAGCAAGTGCCGCTGACAACGTTACAGTTTACCAAGTAGCAAATAAACCGCTTCTTTACGCGCATATTAAAAATTTGAATATAAAATTATTAATTGATTCAGGAGCAGCTATATCAATATTGAAACCTGGTAAAATTTTAGATTCTTATCACTTTAATCATGAAGATTTTAAAATATTTGGTATTAATAACGAACCAATTCAAGTTACAAAGAGCGTAAATTTTAAGTTATTTTCGAGTGTTCAGAAATTCTATGTAGTAGACATAAATTCTCCTTTTGATGGAATACTTGGTTATGATTTTTTAGAAAAGAATAAATGTGTTATTGACTTTGGTTTAAATACTTTATTTGCTAATCATGAGGAAATCCCTTTGTTTTCATCTGATCGGGAACATAATATATTGAGTCTAAATAATATACACGAACATCAAGTTAGAAGTAATAATGTTATCGACTTAAGTGAAAAAATCGATACTACTGTAAGTAAACAAAAATTAGACGCTCTGCCAAGAATTCGATTAAACCATGTCTATCAAAAACAAAATGAATATACGGAATTTGAGAATATTAAAACTAACGTAAATTTAAATAACTTTACCTACTCTAATGAGCAAATCTTAGACGTTAACAATAAGACTATTTTATATTTATACGATGAGAATGACAGAAATGTAAATCATTTCGAAATAATCAATGATAATTTTCCCACTGTTGGTGACTCGGATTTTGAAAAAATATTAAAGTTATATAACGAAAACCGTAGTAGAGAGATTACTATAGTTAAAATTAAGCCACACCATTGCCTTGAGAATTTTAATACTTTGAAAAAACTAGTATTAGTTAGAAATAAAACTTATTGCATACCTTATTTTGAAAGTAATATTTATTATAAAATGCTCAGTTTCCTTTACCCAGACGTGAACTTTATAATTTGTAAAAATATCGTTACTATGCCGCCTGTAGAAGAAAGGCAAAGGATAATTTTCGAATATCATAACGACCCGGGTAATTATCACAAAGGAATTAATGAAACTGCAGACAAAATTCGACAACTTTATAAATGGAAAAATATGTATCGAGAAATAACCGAGTTTATTACTTTATGCCCTACTTGTCAACTCTCAAAATTTGATCGTAGGAATCGTACTCAAGGTTTAAATGTAAGGCATTCTCCGGAGAAACCATTTGAGGCTTTATCTGTAGACCTGTTCTTTTTTGATAAACAAAAAATGCTCACCGTTATAGATAATCTAACAAAATTTGCACAAGCGTATATTTTAACTGATAAAAACCCAGAAACGATAATTAGTAAATTAAAAAATTATTTTTCGCTTTTCGGCCTTCCTAAGATGATTATGTCAGATCACGGGGGTGAATTTAATCATAAAAAGGTGCAAAGTTTTATTAATTCATTGAATATCGAATGGCACCTTACTTCGTCTGAGTACCATGCCTCTAACGGTATAATTGAGCGCTTCCATGCTAACATAACAGATACTTTGCGAAGTTATCTTTTAGAACATAACCAGTGCGACTTAGAAGATGCACTTTTAGTCGCTATACACTCATATAATTCTAGTAAATATCATTCAACATCCAAATACACCAAAATCGGTATTAAATACAGGACCATATGTTGTTCTTGAAGTCAATGAAACCAATAAAACTCTAAAAATTAAGTTAGATAACAAGGTTATTCGAAAATTTCATTTTAATAATGTAAAACCATTTTATGATGCTATTAACTAAACGAAGTTGAAGTGTAACACGGCAAGTAGTAGATATGACCTTTCATTATCCATATTATAAAGGGATTTTAATCAATAATAACTGCAACATATAATTCGATTACCTTGTGGTACACTTCATCTACGGCCTTCTCATAACAACAACAGTAGAATGAGTTATTGCCGGTTGGTTTTTTTGTTCCATGTGGCCCTACCTGCCCTGTGCGGAGTATATCTAGAGAGGCGCCAAAACTTCGAAGCTGTAAAAGAAGCCCTTCTTGAACACCCCAGCTTCGGTCTTCAGGAGGGAGGTGTTATGGCGAGCACGCCACTGCATGTGTGTGTGTGTGTTTCATCTCAATATTCAAGACCCTTTGGAAGATGATAAACACCCATGCCGAGAATCTCTAAGTGTTTACGTATTATCAAGAACTATGAGAGGTTTTTTGTAGATATAGTGTGTATTTCTTAAGTTAGTATAATTCTGTAAGCTAAACTGTAAACATCTGAATAAATTTGTGCATTTCCTTCAGAGTTTTTCGTTACTTAATTCTCCATCGAACACATATCATTTTATAAAGAATAAAAGTTATATCCATAGATAAAATTTATTTTTAATTTTTTGTAAATGGTTGAAAATAATTTTCTCACTTTTAATTTGTAGTGAAATCATGACCTGTGAACATCTGATATGTGTTTTCCTGTACGATACCCAAAGAGAGCAAAAAACTTTGTAGTCTCTATGTCGTAAAAATAGGAATGAAAATCGGTTTTCCCAGTTTCTTGTCTATGAGCTACTATGTGCAATGATATAACGAATGTAAAAGTTTATTCCAATATCATTTACATGAATATGGTCTTTGTGAACGATCAGATTTTTATTCATCTACTTTTGTTAGTTTTTTCGTTACGAAACATAAAATTTTGGTTAATCGTAAAATTAGGCATACCATTTTCATTTAATAATAAAAAATGAATGCCCTCAATAAAATATTAAATCAACCCAAATCAGTTTTTGGCACTACTTTCCTAAATATATTATTTGTTTACCTTTTATTAAAATTACTTTATTTTTTCTAGGTAGCGGACATGTTTCAACAAATTCTGCCCACCGCATTTTATCTAAGTACTGGATATTGGCCTTTGTATGATTCAATGAATGATCGGATTCCTTGCATCTGTGAGTTTATTAATGTTGAGTGTATACACGATCATTCAATAACTCCATGTTTTAATAGTTTTCAAGATGTTCCAGAATATATACTTTTCAGAGATCGAAATAATCAAATACAAATGGTGGTATGTATTTATTAGACAGATATCAGTATTTTTTTACATTATGTAAAATTGCATTTGATTTATTTATTTATCTTAATAAAAAATATTTTAACTACGTTAATATCACACGAGTCGATTAAAAACGTTCTTTCAGGAACTTACATCAAAATCGAATGTCTAAATACAGTGTGTTCACAAAAGTTACGCCATTTCTTTCAACTTCGAGCTACAGTAAGTCAATAATTTTAAATGAATTGGTGAAAAACTAAATCAGTTATATTTCAAATAGTGTTTATATTTGCTTAAAAATATTTTATTTTACATAAATGTAAAGTTTAATTTGCCCAAACGAGAACCCTCTAGAAGTTATAATTTTATACAGGCAGTATGTTTCCATACATTCCTCATTGTTAACACAGAAGGGAAAGCAAATCCACGTTACTTCAGCTGCGAACCGATCTTTGTCAATTGTAAAACCAGCTAGTGAGCGTAGCCTAAACCACAACAACATACGCAAAAAACCTTCTTCAATACTCTTTACAAAAACAATCTTCTTCAAAATAACTTGAAGGAGTCTTTTCAAGTATAGTCTGCCACAAATTCAGCCATTGTCACTTTACTTCAAACGCCTAATATCCATGAATACCAAGTCACTCTCAGGAAAATCCTTGGCAATTTTTAAATAGCATTTAGTTCTCTAGTGAATATAAATAATTCGCAACGACCTCCGGCACCAAAAATATATCCTGCCACTGTTCATGTAGTCGTCCGACGTGTGGACATCTCTTTAACTAACGAGACAATCGAATACTGTCTCAAAAGATAAAAATTTTCGTAAAAAAGGCCGTAAGAATCTTTTCGAGAGCCACAAATAACCCCTGAATATCTTCTTCTCCTGAGAGTCTTTACGGAGTCCGAACAAGCATATTCACAGGCTTTGACACGGGGTGTTTGCATCGACGGGCTTAGACACCGATTTGATCAGCCACTGGCAGGGAATGAGATTCCGAAAAAATTCTTTCAAATGCCCTAATTGCGACGAAAACCACCGCTCAATCGCCTGTCCTAATGCCAAAAAAACTATCTGCTCTAATTGCCAGCTGAGTCATCCGGCATATTCTCATAGGTGCGAGGACCGCACAGCTAAACCGACGAAACCACAACAGGTATTGCTTTTGTTTGCTTGTCAAATTTAACGTGATACTTGGCCGATTTGAAAATAATCTCCACCCACGATGCGCATTCGACCACAACACAATTCGTCCTTATTATTTCTTGGCCCTTCAAATTGCAAGGGACAGTGCAAGTACTTGTATAGTCTGCGACAAATTTTTATTTATTTTACTTATGTTTAAAGTTGCTGTGTGTTGAAGAAATATCATATTACAATAGATTTGACTTTCTAAATAATTATTCTTAAGTATTTTAAATTATAAACATGGATTTTCATTCAAAATTAAAAGGCAAAGTCTTGTCTGGACAAACAAGGGAGGTAATAGCAAATGTATTTTTTTATGCAGAGAGAAGCGATGAAAAATCCGCATGTTAACCCTGCGTTGGTCGCATGGTTCAGGTGAGCGTGAAGCTCACTTGTCATGTATGACTTATTTTGACTTTTTGAGTCAAAAAAACAAAAGGCATAAATATAATGATTTATTTATCAAAGCTAAAAAAGGCAATATTTTGAACAAAATACAAAAAGGAATAAAACATAAAATATAATGTTTGGTACATCTACATAAATAAGCATAATTCTGTAACAGCAACTAGAATAATAAAAAAAATTACTCAGATTCAGGAACTTCGTCGCGTTCACACTCTGTGCAAATGGTGATTGTATGTTCTTTATAAATTGCTCTGAAACACTGGGCACATTTTGACGCTGTTTTCCGATTTTTTTTTCTTGGGGCAATAGGAGCATTTTGGCCTTGCACCTGCTTGATTTTCCTCAGGAACATCTCATTTCTGTGTCAAAGGAAGATTCAGATATTTTTTAATTTGCAAAGTTAGCAGAAATAGCAAGTTTTGGGCCGCTCTTTTTTGCATATGTGGGGTAATGAGTTGTCTGGCTAAAATTTTCAGATACTCACGTCTTGGTTGGCAGGAATCTAATACATTTGTCCTAAATATAATGTTTCCATTTATTCCAGCGATGTTTAGCATAGTATCAGTTTGTCCACTGAATCTACTCACGATTTTGTTTGATTGTAAAAAGTAACTACTGCTGCTTTACAAGCTTCACCACTTTCCTCGTCAATTTCGTCATATTTATGGAGGGTTGACAAAAGCAGGACATTCTTATTTTTTTTTGGACGTACGAAACTAATAAACATTCACGAACAAAAGCAAATAAACTGCTACGAATTGACCTTTCTTTAGTTGCAACAAATATTTCAGGAATTTCACGTTTGTCTGTTCTAATTGTCCAAACTAAAGTTATTTTTTTCTTTTTTAATTCTTCGGCCAAAGGAACTGACATGAACCAGTTATCACAGGTTAAAATTCGTTCTGAATTCATAATGGGTTCACACAATTCTTTCACCACACTTTTTGGACTGTTGTCAATACAAAATGGACCATCAGGCTGCTTTCCTGCGTAAATCTCCATTTTCACAGTATAACATACACGACTCTCAGCCAAGGCAAATATTTTTATCCCGTATTTGTTTGGTTTACCTACTCGGGATATATTGCCTGAAGCTGCACCTTCCACGGAAACCCTCCAGCATTTTGTCAATAGTATAGTTCTTACCAGGTGTGTAGCAGATTTGGCATGTTTCTATAAATTTCTCAAATATATTCCTTATTGGAGCTAGCTTATCAATTAATTTGCGTTCAACTCTTGTGTGAATATTATCAAAACGTAGCGCTCGAAGCAACAAATAGAAACGTTTCAGGGGCATTACCATTTTGAATAATTCTGGTGCTGTAGAATCGTTGCTCCATAGGTCATTTAGGTTGGTGTGTTGGGATTTCAAAACGCTTGCCATGTATAACAATCCAAACACTGCTTTTATTTCGTCACAGTCAGTATCTAAAACATCTCGTTGGCGTGTATAGTTGCCTCTAATTTTCTCTAGGTACAAATTTGTGCACGTCACAAGTTTTTCAAATGATATCATCTGTTATGAACAAGTTCCAACTTGCATATGGAGTTTTAGCATTCTTTGCCGCATGTTTCACTCCCGGTAGTTTGCTAATAATATTGTGCTGTCTAATACGGCTAGTTTTCCGCTCACGGTGAACTTTCCAAATGGTTTTTTTGTCTCTGCCGATATATATGGGATCATCTTCAGACCAAAACGTTGAAATAGTATTTGTCGTATCATAGGCCGAAAACTCTGAGTCTGTCTCATGATTAGAACTAACTTCTACTGAATCTATGTCGCTTCCTTCATCTTCCAAACTTTGCTCTTGCGTCTGTTCAAGTAACAAACCCTCTTGCTCCAATTCTTAATATATTTTTAACAGTCTGGTCTCTTCTTTAGGATCGATGAAACAGTAATATTTTAAAGTTATATGATTTAAAACACAAAGTCAATAAAAAACCCAACAAAAATTGCTGTGTAGCTTTCCAAAATCGTCACGTCGTTAGTAGTGGATGAGCTAATCGCTCGTTTCCCGACATCTACGTTTAATCAATACTTGGAATAGACTGACGGTTGCTCGATCACAATTCTGCGTAAAATATTCTACACACAATAGTAGTAGGAAGGATTACATGCGCGCAGTTGCCAATGTGAGTAAAATTGTGAAAAATGTTAAGAAAAAAGTAAAATGGTGAGCGTTGCGCTCACCATGCGACCAACGAAAGGTTAAAGATTTTAAAAAAGTTCAAGAGCTGGAGGCATTTGAGATGTGGGCGTACCGAAGAATGTTAAAAATCTCCTGGAAGGATAAGATAACTAACCAAGTTGTATTAGACAGGATGAACAAACAAAAGGAGGTCGTATTAAGTGTTAAAATGAGGAAACTACAATACCTGGGACATATTACACGTGAGAATAAATATCAACTGTTACAACTAATTATGCAAGGAAAGATTGAAGGTAGGCGCAGCATAGGTAGGAGAAGAATGTCGTGGTTGAGAAACCTCAGGGAGTGGTTTGCTTGCACTTCCATACAATTGTTCCGAGCGGCAGCCTCCAGAGTCAAAATTGCCATGATGATAGCCAACCTTCGTGGCGGAGATGGCACGTGAAGAAGAAGAAGAGCGTACTTCTTTAGCAACGGGAGTAAGTATAGCCACTATAAAACGGATCCCTCGTGAAATGAAAAATATAGAAAAAGGTGCTTCTACATCATTACAAAGGTTTACTTCGGCGTATAATAATAATTTATTATGTCACGGAAAAACGAGTTCTTACAACGACATATAACAAAAAAAATTAATGAAGACAATATTTATACATGGTCTCATGAAACTTTGAGAAAAGTGATGAGAAATGTGGGATTTCGATGGAGGAAAGCGAAGAATAACAGGAAAATCCTAATGGAAAAACCCGATAGACAAGTGCCCCGGAGAAAGTTTCTCAGAAATATTAAACAATATAGGGAAGAAAATCGGCCCATAATTTACATGGATGAAACTTATATTCATTCCTCTCATACCCATGACAGATACTGGGGAGACACTACCACCGAAGTTTGCACAACCTGTCCAAAGGGCAAAGGCTGATTATTGTTCACGCTGATTATATAATATAAAATATTACGACAAATCTAGTATAAAAATTAAGTAATAAATGTTTCGTCGGTATGTTCCAGGTATAAGATTAACTACTGTTCTTTTATTCTTATACAGTTTACTGTAACGCAACTGTAAAGCTTTCATCTCTGATAATATTTCTCTTATAAAACTACAGAACGAGACATTTATAGAAGTGTTGGAAAAAAAAACTGCCGCTTCGACATGAATGAATGGTCAATAATGAGTCAAATAAAATATAATTATTAGAATAATTTTTTACCAAGTAACAAAAACAAAATATTTTGTATTTTGAGAAAAATTTCCGAAGAAA